AACATAATTATCCTATATCAGCAACTCGAGCGTGCAGTCCTGAAGGGCGAGCACGACACGAATTTTGGCATCATACTAAGACTTTATCACAGTCCCATCTCCAGCGCAGTTCACCACCTCTTCAGCCTGGTGAGCAGAACTTTCCAGGGAAACTTCCTTCCTTCGACGAGGTTAGTATCAGTCAGACTCTTCAACCCCACGATGCTTATTCTGGCAGTTTGTACAAACAACCATCGAAAGGACACCACCACACACACCCTCAAGGAGAAACGAATCCGCAGAGAACTCCCCTCATGTTCGCCCTCAGTTTGAAGATGTAGCATGGACAGACAGCAAACGAAGACGTGTCGACACATTGGGCGACATTTACGCTCGTCCGTCCAACGCTTCAGAGTACCAGCCCAACGATCCTCGTCGTATGAGTTCTGCTATCGACCCTGCACTATACAATGCAGACCCAGCCCGCGCTAGACAGCAATCAGCTGGGCCAAGTCACCACCGTCCAAGCCTACCTTACCTTCCCGCATCAGCGCAACATGTGCGTCATCAGTCTCAACCTGTCGCCCAGGGTATTCCTTCCTACCAAGTGCCTCCCACTCACTCGCAACGAATGGCAGCTCCGGGTTCCTTTGCTCAGCCACCCCCTCCAGCAAGCATGATGTACGAGCGCAGGCCAAGCTACTACCAAGATCCTCATATGCAGCAGCATGCGTACCCATACGAAGACCGCCGCGAGTCGGTCTATTATCCGGCTCAAGCATACGCTGCGGCACCGCCTGCTGGATACGAACAGGGTTACTACGATGTCCGATTTCAGCAACATGTCGGTGTTGATCACACCAACTTCAACCGAAAACGACGCGGAAACCTTCCCAAGGAGGCAACAAACGTCCTGAAAGAATGGTTTGCCGCAAACCGCGCGTCACCATACCCTACTGAAGACCAGAAGATGGACCTTTGCCGACTGACAAACTTGACATTGAACCAGGTATGCATTACTGTCTATCCCTACTATTACTTCTCTTGAATCGTGCTAACGAGATTGAAGGTTAGCAACTGGTTTATCAATGCGCGCCGTCGCGCCCCGCAGAAGGAGCAACGGGAACGAGAATCCAACGCCAGCGTGGAGCAGTAATTTTGGCTCTGGGTGGACCAAACTTGTCAACAGAGCAGCGCCATCACCTCTGGCAACACGCCACTATCTTCTTCATCTGGCATTGGATATGCATTGAAGCCGTCGAGCATCTCGGCGCACCACATTTCGACTATCAAACGTCAAGGTCTTTTCTTACTGTCACGCGGACCTCAACTGGTACATGCATCTTCAGGTGCCAGGATGGTCTCCTCTCCTACCAACTGGACTGTACGTAATACCCTGGATACCCAAACGGAGCATTCAGACACTAGGCATGTTCATGGATTCAAGCACCAAGGCAAGGCGTTAACGGCGTTCCCACGGACACAAAACGACGTGGAGTATTTGATTTTGCGGTTTCAGCAGGTACTTAGTCTTAATCAAGTCGAGTCATCCAATTTTGATGCTCCTGGCACTGTGACATGGGACATTGGCCATAAGGTGAAGGCGCATGCAGCGTAGCATTGACTGCGCATGTAGCGCAGACTTGACTGTGCAGAGTTTCAGCACCGGATCTACCCGCTCACTCCATGTACTTCGTACGTCAACAATCAAGCTGAAGGGAAAGCGATGGTGTGCTGCATAAACTATGGTCCAATCCGCCACCACATGGAGCCTTTCTGCTAGTGAAACATGCGCATACTGTGGCGCTACGCTTCGCATCCACACAATTCCCCCAGTGCACCACCATTCATCGGCAGCTCCCATAGCTCCGCTGACGCCGTCTTCTGTTGCCAAACCAACGCGCTATCGAAACAGCAGTAAAGGTGTCCATAGGTCCAGCCTACAACAGAGTTTGGCCGAGGTTCGCATAACAACTTCAGCAATGCACACATGTCACACTATGATATGCGTTGGTAACTTTGACTAGCGCGAGCAAAGGTTTCGGTTGTCAAGCTACATACGGAAGGCTAGCTGCGGAAGGAACTTTGGCAGCCGCTGGGGGTGCTCATGCGAGACTATCGAACCTCGAGGAGAGGATTTGTGCTATTATTTGGAACAGTGTGCTATTTTTCGAAACTGAGTGTGCCAGGGCTGGCTTGCGTTTTGGTTTTCGCGGGATTTTGTGGGTCTTGGCATGGCCAAATGTGGTTGTTTCAGCTAAGTCTGGGTTCAGGGTCATGGGAAGATAATGTATCAGAAACTTGACGCTTAACGGGCGAGAAGTGACATGGTGCACGTCCAAAATTCTGGGTCGGGGGTGGTAGAGTGACAGCTATGAAGGCTTGCGAGAAACGAAACAGATGAGGTGCCAAGTTCGTATTGGAGGTGTGGCAGGATTTGTGATGAGGACACCGGAAGCGCTCATGCCTTTGACGAGTACGGGACTGACAGACCCGCTGAAAATCCTCCGCAACTGGGGTCTATCATCCAACGTGCGGCAAGTTGTGCCAGCGAAGGGCACAAAGAAGGCTAAGGTTAGGTATGGATGTCACAATAAACCCTTGTCTGATCGGCGCCAGGTTCTTGCCCCTTCCATCTCATCTGACTTGCCATCCAGAGATCGAGTATTCATCGCACCCTGGTCGGGGCTGCAGATCCATTCGCAACGAACATCCCAGCCTGCTACTATCATCTAAACAATCATCCCAGATCGCTGTACAAGTAGAGACCAAGCCGTGTTCATTAGGGCATGTGTGCAATGCGCGCTCGTCTCTGAAGTCGGTGCGGGGACCGGGCCGGAATGCACTAAAGCTCATCACAACCAGGTACCGTGTACCAACGTTGCGCATCCACGAGTCAGCGGTGAGCTCCTCACCGGACCACCCTGGCGGCCATCCCAGCCACGACAATGGTGATGATGGAGCTGTGACGGCGGGGCGAGGCTGTGCGATGTCAATCGCTCCCTTGGAAATTTGGCATCGTTACTCGAATAATGATGCGCAGGAGTGGAGTTGGGTGCCTTGCGACGCCAGGTTGAGCACTGCAAAGCTGCCGGTGATGGTGTTGTGACGGACTCGAGGTGGGGTGATGTCCGGGTGCGGTGTGGATAGGTTCTGGATCGCAAAGACCATTGGTGTTGCAAGTTGAGAAGGAATGACGTCTAGTCCCAAGTAGATTGGCATTGTGAATGCCAGAAAGCAGGCGCGTGTTACGCATAGCAACAGATTTTTCGTCAGATCTGCATGTGTTTCTTGGTCTGGCCAACGCAACCCAGCGCAACGTCACTGACTGGATGCAAAGCAATACCACTCTCATACGACTCCATCGAAGCGGTCGTGATGCAATCAATCTGGAGAGAGACTGTACTGTGGGCCAAATCTAGAGATCATGTCGCAGTTGGCACACCGTCTGCCAGGTTGTTGCCCTGCCTATGGTCGCACGCAAACTTATCCATGGATGCAACGATATCCGTCTCTTTGGTAACAGACGCTCATTGGCTCACATTGAACGAAAGGCAGACTGTAGTGTGTTGTCATCACTTTCTGAAGGCAGCATGCTCTACAGTCGAACCATGGTCCACCATAGCCGTTGACCCGTAGAACCAAGCGTACCATGGTACCACGATGGCGAAAGCCGTCCATCATTTGCCCATGGAAGAGGGTCACCACTAACCCAACGCCCTTTCGATCTTCAGCGCCAATGTGATCGACGAAGCAAGCAAGATTTGTATTCTTTCCACCCAGTCCACATAGAAATTCTTGAGCGGATGTATCACTATGACAGCATTTGAAGGGAAATGATCAAGATCACAGCACCTCTAGGAACCAAAGGTGGCTCCGAATCTATGGAACGCTTCCTACCTTTGTGGCGTGGGTGAGGAGCTCCCAACAAATTGCCCAGGAGAGCGGCGGCAGTAAGAGCTTCGGCATGGCAAAGCAGAACCCCTAGGACATTCTTGCATGTCATAAGTTGAACAATGAGTTTCAGTCACCGCTGCGACAGTCCATCCTTAGGCTTAAGCTTCTGAGGTCTTGGACAGATATCTCAATCTTTGCCAGAAGGAAGCACGCGATCTGACCATTGTGTTGACATTCTCATTGCACTTACTTCGTGCTGCTGAGGAGCTTTCTCGATCCAAGTATATCAGTCCAATATTATGTGCCATCACACGTGGTGCTTTGGCAAAGGAATTTTTTGCTACGCATAAGCCAGTCCTTTAGCTGCCATGGCAGCAAGTATCCTCCCCAAGACTTTCAAATTGAACAACACCTGCTTCGCTATGAGGCGAAATATAAAGAGCTGGATTTCGAAAACACTCTGCTTTGGCTTAGTCTGTTTGTAGCTGGCCAGGCGTAGTACTCACTAAGTTCTGTGATGTGACTTATGTGTCCAACGAGCAATTGCCCGTTTCCACGAAGAAGACGTATTGATCGCATTGAACGATCGGAGCGTAGTTCGATGAGTTGAGCATATGTCTACTTTGCTTGCACAATCAACCACGTCACATTGAATCCAAACGCCCTCAGTCGCAACAAAAGACAAAGGGAACATAACACATCTTTAGATACAGCTATTCTACGGCCTTGGACCAATATGTGTGTGTCTTTAGCATCGCAGCATGAGTACTTGGGGTTGCCTTTCGAAGCAATCAAGGCAGAACGAAGACCAGACGCAGTGGCGCACGCAATCTGTATAGGACGAGGGGCCAATATATTTGCACAGAGTTTTGGCCTCTTCCTATTTATCGTGTGCTCCTTCCTGACTACCCAAAAGCACTGCCCTATCTCTTCAAATTTGAAGTACCTTTCAGCATTTGTGGTACCTCTACAACACCGGATATGAATTGGCAGAAGCCCCTTCACCGAAGCAAAATACCAAGTCTTAAACAACGCAACCTTGCTATCTGGCTCATGCTGAACCATTCCTGATTTCTTTGCAGACGCAAAAATGGAGGGGGCGATTCTGAGCAAAAATAACGATTTGATTTCGCCGAGGTTCGAACTCGGGACCTTTCGCGATCACTTGAATGTGAGGCGAACGTGATAACCAACTACACCACAAAACCGTCTGATTGGATTGATGAAAGAAACTAAATTTTTTGGTTATATGATCATGTTATATCAGAAGAACGCCTACTGCGTCTGTCATGGTATGGGTTGAAGTGAGCACATGTGCGACAGGGGTCGTGTGGGGCCTCTCACCCGCCCGAGTTGATGGGCTGGCGAAAGATGCCCAGATCGTCGGAAGAAAAGTTGAAAGCTGGTGTCCAGATGGTATAACTACTCGATGAGACAAAGTAGGGTGTGTGATCTCGTCTGCGCTCTTTTATGCAGCGTCACCCAAAAGACCTGAGCACTTGTAGGAAACCTGCAAGTCCTTATGTCCGTGACTGCCATCGCGCTTACCTGCACTCTTCATCCCACCTGTTCGCTTCGTCTCTCCCCAGCTCCGGAAATCCAGCTTTCATCCCACCCAGGCTACCTCCAGCACTTCATCAATATGTCCGCTTTCAAAGAAGCTCTTCCATGGATATCGCTCCCCCTCCTCGTCAATGCCCCTATGGCTGGCACAGCAGGTGGCCGCCTTGCTGCTTGTGTGACCCTTGCTGCAGGTCTGGGCCTTGTGGGCTCAACGAACGACATGAAAAATACACGGCATGAATTAAATCTCGCGCGCGAGGCACTTGCATCTACTTCGCATGCTGCATCGGAAATGCTACACGTGGGGGTCGGCTTCCTGACTTTTTTGACGAGCCTCGAAGAGGCGATGGAAGTGGTAAGAGAGTATAAGCCGGTCGTGGTATGGCTGTTCGCCGCGAAGGAGGTCAAAGATTACGCGCAGTGGGCGCATGCTATACGTGGGGCGTCTCCTGCGGGCAAGATCTGGGTGCAAACTGGCAGTGTGGCAGCTGCACTGACGATTGCGGAGAGCGCCCGGCCAGATGCTCTGTGCCTGCAGGGCGCGGATGCAGGTGGGCATGGATTTGAGAAAGGCGCGGGGATTGTGTCCTTGGTCCCTGAAACGAGCGATGCGTTGGAGGCTGCAGGACACCGCAGCATATCACTGCTGGCGAGCGGAGGCATTATGGATGGGCGAGGGGTTGCTGCGGCACTGAGCCTGGGCGCTGCTGGAGTCGTTCTGGGCACGCGGTTTCTGGCAAGTAGAGAGGCTCTTGTGCACCCAAAGGTGCAGGCAAGTGTCTTAGAAGCGATCGATGGTGGCCAGATCACTACACGGAGCACACTGTTTGATCAACTACGTGGGCCGAACATCTGGCCTGAAGGGTATGATGGGAGGAGTTTGGTTATCAAGAGTCACAGAGAGTATTCAGAGGGTGTTGGGCTAGAGGAGATCCAAAAAAGGCACAATGAGGCACTTAAAGACGAGGATCAAGGGTACAAAACTGGTCTTGAGGGACGAGCGGCGATTTGGGCAGGAACCGGAGTCGGTCTTGCCAGGGATGTGAGTAGTGCAAGTGAGATCGTGGTGAGCATTCGTGAGGATACGAGGAAGAAATTGACTCTGGCTGCGAAGTTTTGACCAGACTCAACAATGTAAACAAGACGGATGGAATTGCGAGGCAGACTGCGCTGTGGGTATATAACCATGTAGACAAGACATCCGTACCATGCAATAAAACAAAATTGGCCTAGCAACACTGGGCTAAAATATCCTATCATGAGCCTCGTGAGGGGCTGTTGGCGCCGCCTTTGTTGATTAGACCAGAAAAGAACGACATGAGCTTGTCGTTGCTCATGGCGCTTGGATCCGAGGCATCTGGCGTGGTTGCCTTTGGCTCGTTCGATCGATTTGCTTCGCGATCTTGAAGCCTCTTCACCATCTCATCAGCGTTGACATGAATGCCACCCATGTTGAATTGCACAGGTCCAATATGCTCCTCAACAACGCCAGAAGCATCGTCGCCACTTGTCCCAGCCGTGAAAACATTCCGTGCCGAGGAGTCAGTCTCCTTGCGTGCTGCCTTAACGGCTGCTTCTTTGTCGTCCTCCTGCCGCAGCTGATCGAGAACATGTACTTGCTCTGCAAGGAAGGCCTGCGGGTCCATGCTTGTGACTTCGAGACCATTGCCTTGGTTTGCGAGTGTAGGTTGTGTGTAATCCTCTGGGTTTCTGATTTCTTTCTCATAAATGGCAGTTGCTGAGTCGGGATCGTCGTCTTCGCTAGTCGGGGATGCTGTAGCTTCCATATCTTGTGATCCTTCTTCATCGCCGCCTGGCGATTGCCCGTTGGGTCGTGCCGTTCCTCGAGGTATGTCAATGTCCACACTCCACTTCTCGCTGACCTCTTCTATAGCAAAGTCCCGCAAAATCCTGATCTTCGCCCATGAATCCCAGTTCGGCGGCACAAGCACTCGGTCCCGGTCTGTAACGTTGTGCTTAAGCTGCTCTTGTTTCAGCAAGGATTTGATGCCTAGTGTTGAATGTATGAGAGTTTGTAGCGAGCCAGGGGCCGAGGGCATAGTGTAGATCAAGCTACCGCCGTGCTTGAGTAAGATTGTGCGGAGATACTGCAGGATGAAGTCGAATTCGGCCTCTTTCCACCCACGCTCCTTCTCCAAGGACTCGATTTTATCGGCATTCTGACACACAACGCATATGGGCAACCCCAATTCCTCATCCCACTCGCCGGGCCCAAGCGGGATCTTCACATTTTCCATGGATATGCTGCCATCCCCCCCAAGGTTGCGCCCCTTTTCTTGCAGTATTGCAATGTTGTCTTGTAACACGTCTTTTGAAGCATCGTCAAGGGACAAAACAAGCGACCGAAGCACCCTGATCCAGTCTCGCAACTGCCGTATCCAAAGCCAAGGGTGATTCCAGTCCAGCAAAATGACGACAAGCGTGTTTGGGATCGTGCGCGGGTTCAGATAAGGCTTGATGAGGGGCGTAAACGACGGCGAGGGGTTGGCGAGGAGGTACAATGAGAGGCGAGCAAGGGTATCTGAGCGTGTATGTTAGCCAGGCAGGCGCAAGTGAAAAGAAAGGGGGCTGCCCACCTTCATGGTCTGTGTCGAGTACATCCTGGTAGGTGTACCCCAAGGCAAATTGGTTTGCGATCGGTGGTTTCTTCCCGCGGTCCTGCTGCCTTCTTCCACTGGGGCCGTCTGTCGATACTGACTCGAGGAAGTCTCGCTGTGTCTCCGGTGTTCCACCTGTCCCCCTTGGTTAGTCTTCACCGCTGCATCTCATAGAGTCCAGCGCACCTAGTACGAGCAAGCTCTTTTCGGGCAATCTCTTCCCACTCGAAATGCTATCCAACAAGGGTTTCCAAATCTCCTCCTTGTCGGTGTCTCGGCTGCCCGGGCGCTCGTTGCTGCCCGGTGTACGCGTGGGGAACCCCGAGGTTCGACGCGCGCTGGCCATTGCGGAGGCCGGAGGTGATGCGGAGTACGAGCGCGTGTACTTTTGTGTTCGAAATGACACTGGAGGCCTGGGTTTATGCAGAAGAGCAACCAAAGTAATTGCAATGGGGAAGAGCGTCGCGGCGCGCAGTCGACATGCAATGTGGGGGTGTTGTGGATGTGTTTGGCAGCTCTTTGTTGGTCGGCACCTTTTCCTGCAGGGGTCCCGCGACTTGCATACGCCAAGCACCGAGCTTCCTCTCAAAAGTTCACCCACAGCCTGCCTCGCCTTCCCTTGACAGGCGAGACACCATTTTGCCGCGATGAACTCGGTGCGCGCAATCCAGCAGCTGAATAAGCGTGAGCTCGAGGCTGGAATCACCCCGGAAGGCTCATGGCACACCGACTACCGCGACACGGCATTCATCTACATTGGCGGCCTGGCATTCGAGCTCTCGGAGGGTGACATCATCACCATCTTCTCCCAATATGGCGAGCCTGTATGGGTGAAGCTGGCACGTGACAAAGAGACGGGGAAGTCGCGCGGCTTTGCCTGGATTAAATATGAGGATCAGAGAAGCTGTGACCTGGCCGTCGACAACCTGGGCGGTGCCACTATTATGGACAGAGTTATCAGGGTCGACCACGCCCGATACAAACCAAGGGACGATGAGGACATGAGAGACAATACAATGGGGGATGCGGACATGGACGTCGGCAACGACTCGGATGGAGGGAGGCGCAAGCGTAGGAATAGCGAGGAGACTGAATCTGAGGATGACAGGCCTCTGCTACCGGAAGAAATTGAGCTTGAGCGCTTAGCAGAGAAGCTCGACCTTGACGATCCTATGCGCGATTCCATGATTAAGCAACAACAGGAGAAGGTGGGCGAAGCGATTGCTAAGTTCAAGCGCAAGGCGAGGAAAGAAAAGGAGAGGAAGAGCAGGCACGATAGGCATGACAGGCGACACCACAGAGATGGCTCAAGGGACCGTCATCGCGACCGCGACAGGAAAAGGATCAAAGACGTGGACGAGGATGACCACCGCTCACGACGGAGAGATGACCGTAGCAGGAGCCGTGACAGGGCTTCCGACGACGAGTACCGTCACAGAAAGTCCAGGCATAGGAACGACTCTCAGGACCGGGATAGGCGCCACCGCCGTGATCGAAGTCGGGACCGTCGTGACCACAGCAGTGAGGGCCGTGGCAAGGACCGTGACCGTCAAAGGCGCCGCGACAGATCCACTAGCGAAAGTGACAGAAAGCCAAGGCCCAGGAGGTCGCCTTCACCACGACGCGAGCGATCCCCTCGGTGAGCACTATATTGCAGTAACAGACTCACACTTCAGTGCGATATAAACTCTGTCGGGTCCATTGTGATCTAAAGAAGTCTTCATTCATGGCACAAGACTGGGACTGGACGCTTCTCCCCTAGGGATTGCACGCGATCGCCTATTCCAATGCAGGCTTTACCACCACAGCCCACTTTCAATGGTGGCTATCGCATCATTAAGTCCCATGACATATTACAAGTCAAGTGAATATTTAGGACATCACCGCATTGGTATTGGACTTAAAGCATTGGAGGGGCCGTTGGATTACAAGACTTCCAACGCCGACAGGCGTGAGACTCGAAGCTTGAGTTACTATCGAAGAGCGATGTCATCATTCAATCGTCCTCTTTCGTGACATCCGCAATC